AAATTGGACTCTTTCACCAAGAGTCTTTGGTGAAAAAACATCAAGGTCCTTTTAACTTTTGCTGCAAAGAAACAGGTGGAGAGATATTAATTCAGGTTCATGTAAAAGGAAATGGGGGAGGGATCTGACAGAGACAACTGCATTTAGCAGCTACATCTCATTTGTGAAGGAAAGGCAGAGGCTGAAATGGAGATTAGAGACCCAGAGAAATTCTTTCAGCCAGGAAGCAACATCCTTCTTGGAATTGGTGTGGAGAAAAGCTGAATATGAACCCACGGTGCTAGTTGGCTACAAAAAAATTAAATGCTATTTTAGGCTGCATTAATAAAGGTATAATCTCCAAATCCTGTGAGGTACTAGTTCCCCTTTGTTTCCCCATAGAAGTGAGAGCTGGACCATGAAGAAGGCTGACCGCCGAAGAATTAATGCTTTTGAATTGTGATGCTGGAGGAGACTCTTGAGAGTCCCCTGGACTGCAAGGAGAACAAACTATCCGTTTTGAAGGAAAATCAACCCTGAGTGCTCACTGGAAGGACAGATCCTGAAGCTGAGGCTCCAGTACTTTGGCCATCTAATGAGAAGAAAAGGCTCCCTGGAAAAGCCCCTGATGTTGGGAAAGTGTGAGGGCAAGAGGAGAAGGGGACGACAGAGGATGAGATGGTGGGACAGTGTCATCGAAGCAACCAACATGAATTTGACACAACTCCAGGAGGCAGTGGAAGATAGGAGGGCCTGGCATGCTCTGGTCCATGGGGTCACGAAGAGTCAGACACGACTTAGACTGAACAACAACAACTAGTCCCCCTCTATTCGGCACTGCCTAGCCCTGATCAAGACTACTGTGACCAGTTGTGGACACCACACTTGGAGGAGGATGCCAACAAACTGGAGCAAATTCAGGATGATCAAGGGGCTGGAAACCAAGCCTTATGAGGAAAGGCTGGGCTTGTTTAGCCTTGAGCAAAGAAGGCTGGAGGGAAAATAGGATCACATTTCTAAAATTCTTGAACTCTCAACTCCCCCCCCCATACAATACTGAGAGGGAGAGACTTACTCCTATGGGTCCACCCGCCCCCTGCTCTGCCCCATAAGTCACCCCTGGAACGCTGCTGCCACTTTGGGGCCGCCTAAACCTTATGAGGGCTCTACCGCTATAGACCAATAGGTGGAAGATGATGACTCCATGACCAAAGACCTGTTCAGGGCCCTTCCATCTCCTGCTTCTTGGCGAAGGGCGCTTCCTTCGGCTGGGTTTGCAGCTGGGGGTCCCCTCCCATCTCCCCCCGTCCCTGGGGCACACTCACCATCATACACACACACCCAGACACAACGAAGTGTGTGTGGGGGTTGTCTCTTCTTCAAGCTCTTGAATACAGGACCGGCTCTGTTTCCCTCCGGAGGAAGAAAAAGGAGGGACAGGAAGGGATTTTTTTAAAGGTGTCAGAGGAGCGTCATCTCCCCTCTAGGAATCTCATCTCTATGCATTTAACCCTTAACTGCCAGAACAGTTTTCTTCTTCGCCCAGATTTGAGCGCACCCTAGGGAGTGTTGGCTTTTAGGGAACAGGGAATCGCCGCTCCCTCCTGGTTTGAGGACTTCGTGGCTTCCCTTGCCCAGAAATCGCTCTGCTGTCCCTCTTCTTTCTCTCCCACCCCTGTTCCTTCTTCCCAGATCTTTTCTTTCCCAAACTCCATCCAGAACCTGCAGTTTTCATCCGACCTTCTTCTTGCCTTCTTTCACAATGTGAAGGATCAGTCCTTTTCTTCTTATTGAGTAAATAGACTTTTTGAAAGGAAA